CTCCCTTTTCCTCCACATCGGTATAACCGCGCGCTCGGCCTTGCAAAACACACCCGGAAAACACGCCTGGAGAGACCCAAACGCTTCACGGAGCTGGGTTTTATGGCCACAGCGGCATCCAAGCACCTCAGGTCCACAGGCCGCTTCAAGTGTTCCAGAAAACTCTTCTTCCAACTCCCAGGCAAAAAACTAAATTCACTTAAGGATGCCAAAAAAAGATAGTCCTGTTTATAGAAAACTGACAGCGCCCGAGGTGAGCGCTTGTTCTTCCCTCACAAACTGATTTCCTGCTGCCTTTTTATGGCGCTGCTACAGCTTTACAATGTAAGCAGAATAATCAATTCACAAGACAGAAAATTCAGATAATCAGCATTTGTGAAACTCTCCATTTGTTATCAAAAATCCCATCTTAAGTACTTGAATGTTAAGTACTTAAGAACTTACATTTTTCCCCTCTGTCAGGCATTTGATCTTTACTACTTTGTTTTTTAAGACAAAACCCAAGTACACGCTCCCCGCGAGTATCCCACGACTTATCTCTACTTTTTTCTTCCATTTGCCAGATAATCACCCATGCTTTTGCATGCACTAAACAGTAAGAGGAGCTACAACCACGTATCATCTTCCAGTAACATCAAAATCAACTGCAGTAGTATTGGCCTTCTAGGTTTCTTCTAGGTTTCCATACTCAATTTTATTTATTAATTGAAAAAATACAACTTCTCTAGGTTAATATCATCTGAAGTATCTTTGTAGTGCTTTTCTTCACACTACAGTTAGAAGCATATTCCTTTTTTTTGCATATCAAGATTTCAAATATTATGAATAATATGAATATTGTTTCAAATATTGTTGAAATATTTTCAATATTGTATCCATACTACTTCAAGGATTACTGTTGCCAAAAAGTTTCAGACCCCGAGGTAGCAAATAAAAAAGATTACAGCAGAAAGCCAGTCTCCATGCTTATACAAGCGCTTCTCTGAATTTGCACTTTCTTTTTATTTCTAAGATTTTTTAGAATGAGAACTGAGAGGATGAACTGTAAACAAAAGGGAGTTTAAATGCTGAAAAAACACTTTACCTTAAATTATGTTTTGGGGTTTTTTTCCTTAATTTCTACCTACCCTTCTGGAGTTGGAAACCTGGCTAGTCATATGCAACAAGTTACCTTGAACACAGCACTCATCATTACAAAGGAATGTTTTAGATAAAGAATATAAAGTTGTAGTTACCACAGGTAGCATTTTAAATTAACCAAAAAAAATGAACACAAAATACAGAATAATGTGTAACTGTAGAAACAAATGAAAGATTCAGCACACCAGCTGTTAAGTTATTAGAAGCTCAGCAGAAGTTGGATCAGTTCCTTGAAGTATCAGCATTCTGATAGCCAAAAGCAGGACTACTGCATTCCTTCTAAGGTGCAACTTCATAAGGAAATCTCTGGCATTTTCTACTCTCCCCCTTTTCCACCGCAGACACCATTTGACATACACATATACACACAGAGCTCCTTCCACTATTGCCATTTCATCTTATCACGTAGTTGCTGATGGAAATTTTATTAAACTTTGAAGTCTTTGAGGTGTAGTGCTACTTTCCAACCCAAGCAGTTATATGACAGAAAGACTTTTTGAAGTTAAAGCACTGAAATAGGTCTGTGAGGACACTTTCAAATGGCATTATGGTCAAATTTAAGGAGGAATAGATGTATCCCATTTTGGAGTGCATTACCGACCTAACATTCAGAAGAGAAAAAATCTGGAAAAAAAAAAAAAAAAAGCAGAAAACAGTCTTATATCCAGTTTCAAGTGCTGGTAAAGGCCTCTTCTATGACTTTCATGAGGAATTTCTGGAACTAAAAGGCATGATTTTCAACTACTTTATACGCTTAATTGAATAGAAAAGGCAAGCAGTTCCTCTTTTCAAATAACAGATTTCAGAACACTAAAGCATAGTTATACAACAACTATCTGCATAATTTCACATGTCTCTGAAGAAGCAAAGAACTCTCCAAGTTCAGAGTTTATCTATAACACTTCACATAATCATTAAGCATCCTCCTCAAAACAAGCCCATGTAACCCCTTTTGATACATATTTGATGTTCACTATTTCTCCACCACCGTTACTCGGCTTTTGAAAATGAATTTCAATCATGTCCTGTACACTATCCTCTTCGTCATCAGTCTTTTGAATTCCTTTCAACAGAATAGTCTTCTTAGAAATCCCAGAATAGATCTGTTGAGGAAAGAAAACAAACAAGATCTTGCATTACATATCAGTTGCCATATGTACATGTTAAGAAGCTGATAGTTATTGGAAATAAGCATATCCTTGAGAAGCTAAGGTTATGATTTTTGATTACATTTTAACACTTTGGACACCGTGGTGTATTTTAAATCACAAACTAATGCAAGCTCTGAACTTCGCAGGCTGCCGAGTCTGCCTGGTAATGCATCTGACCTCACACTTGTGTCTCCTACATTCCTTAATGCACACACTGGATTCCTGAATCTCTGATGATTCTAGTGGGTACCGCTCAATCATCATCAATGCCAACACGCTGATACACACCTGCAAAGGATGCTGTCAGACCTCACAAATGCACATCTTTAGCTAAAGGCCTGATTATATACAGTACACTATACTGACCTGATTACAATCTCTTTGTACAAAGTAAAAAAAGAATTTTAGTGAAACAGATGAGCAAGTAGAGCAGTTACTGAAAAAAAGGCATTATTTTGGTTGAACAATTGAATGAAAAAAGTGATTGAGCAAGTATTTCCTAAAACAACAAGAGTCTCTGCTGACACAATCAGCCAGGCATCTGATTAGGGCTGATTGGGGTATGATTTTATCTTGTGATCTGAAAATATGTTGTTGTGTCTACTATTAAGCAACTTCACAAACAATTCAATATCTGGCTCCCACCTAGCAGAGACATTATGGTAAACAGCGATGCAATCTGATCAAGGAAAATCAGGCGCATCCTTTTAGAATGAATTACAGCTTTCACACTGCAAAGCATAAAATTATTAAGAGCACATTGCAGGCTCTCACTTGCTATGAAGTTTCACAGCCTGAGTGACAAAAAAGCTTCTGCATTCCTTAGAACAGAAAATTGTGTCCATATCTCTATTTATGTGGTAATGTGAGTTAGATTCTTTTACCTGAAGTTTTTCCAAGTGTTTTACCATGCTTGGGGACACACACACCAAGTATGTTTTTCCATTTGCAAAGAAAGGACATTCCATCCGTCTCACTAAGCCACTAGCTGCTGTAATGAAGAATGAGAAAATGGGGAATAACATTAATACAATCTAAAATGTATTTTTATAATCACATCAAAAACAGACTAATCCCTTTTTAACACGGACTTAGAAATTAATATATGATAGCCCATTTGTTGATTCCTTATATGTAATAGAAAAAAAATGAAAATTGGAATTGGCATATTCAACAAAGGAAAATAATTAAATATCCACAAAAGCTTCTGAGATAAATCTAAAGCAGCTGCCCTAAATGGATGTGGCTTCACTGATCTTGATAGAATTTCACACACGTAAACCAGAATGTCTCAAGTTAGGCAATCTGAATGCCTTTCTTAACTTCATTGTCTTGACTGAGTGCTAAAAATCAAACATATTTTCCTAATTTTCCTCTCTCCAGTATAAGTGTCCAGCAATGCAAAGGAAAATACATTTTTGACAAAATTAAAGAAGAAACAAAGCCCACAAGCTACATAAAGGCATCTTTCTGATCAGAAGGGAATGTAACGAAATACTATTTTATTTATGGATACACAAGTGAAACCACAGCTCTTCACATGGAAAGCAGAACAGGAATAACTTGCGATATCCAGCAGTGGAGTTTACATAGAAAGAAGGTGAGGAAATGGCCAATATGGCCTGTAACAAAATGGCTAAAAAAACCTTGCATGAAGTACCTTCAGGTCTGAGGAATGTAATAACAGCTCTTCTAGACGTCTTGTCATATTCTACATGCTCTATTTCTCCTCCTCCACGTTCAGGTTTGCAGAAATGTAGCTCTAATTTGTCTCTCACCCAGTCATCAGGAATTGATTGCTCCGGTATTTCAGAAACGTTGATCGTCTTTCCAGAAATGGTGACATGGAGCTAAAAGAAACATTTTTTGTGCATTTTGTGACTAAAAGCCACCCACACAAATGAGTCTAAGTACTTCAAGTTTGTATTTTTCTAGTTCTATATATTTCAGTGAATTACCTCAAATTTGATTCCCGTTCCAAGTGCAAAAGGCTCCACTCTCATATCTGTTGTTTGGCTGTCCAGGTTCACAGTATGCTTACGCATTTTTGTCAGTCTCTGGGCAACTGAGAGGAAAAATCACAAGTTATCAGATATTAAAAGCCTTGTGTAACCATTATGAAAATTAGACTATTCCCAAAGTTGTAAGCAAAATATATTTTGACAACAACAAAGAAGAAATAAGTAACAACAAAGAAGAAATAAGGTATTAAAATATGCATCATACCTTCCTCTTCTTCAAAAGTAAGGAGAGCTTCATTTTTTTTCAGTTTGAATGGGATTTTTGTATTTACGTGAAAAACACAGTGAGTATCTGTATCTGGATAATCATCCTTCATTTCCTTCATCTCAGTGAACTTCATTTTCGTTTCTGGTACCTTTTTTTTAATCTAGTATTTTAGATTCAATACAGAAAAAAAATCTGTCATTTACTATATAATAGAAAAATGAAGAGAACAGTCTCACCTTGAAGTTTAACAATCAAGTAGATTGAAGTTACTGCTTGTAGAACAAGCACAGCTCTTAACTATAGTTGTGCATGTCTAATTCTGAGATTTTGTCTATGAAAAAAAAAAAAAAAAAGTATCTCTCTCTTTTTGTCTTTCAAAAGAAAACGCTTTTGGGGATAAGATTATTCCTGCCATTTCTTTCCAAAATTCAGCCTCCTAGGAGCCTGTTAATCTTCTGTTCGCTGTACTGCCAATGGGCGGACATTCTTCCTAAAGGTAATTCAGACTCAATCTCCCTCCAAAAGAGTCTTGCCCTGTCCAAAGGTGTTGAAAATTGACAACTCTTCAATTTAGAAATGTATTTTAGGAAGCTGCAGTTAGTACTCTAAAGCACTTCAAAATCTGAAGCAAGAGTCTATATAAAGACACTCATATGATCACAGTCTTCACTTTGTTGTAAATTCTCAAAATATTTAGTTGTATTCCAATTCAGAATGAAACCAGATTTTTAAAAGCTGAAATTTCCAAAGGGAAAGTTCTATCTCTGAGCAGCTCAGTGTCTGCAGAGGTATGACTAAAAACAAGAGAATCCTTGGATTCTGAACATAAACTCATTTAGTATCAGCGATACTTAGGTGGCTGAAAACTTAGTTAATTATCATTTGATGTCATTTGATATCATTTAAACTGATCAAGTCAAATTCAATATAGGCTATAGTAAATGCTGTATTTGTCTTATAATGGGCATATTCCCTTTCTTAAATCCTCTTAACTCGAGAAATAGTAAATAAAAATACTTGAAAATTACTAAAGTTATGCATATGTTTTATTCTAGTTTTCCATAATCGTTTTTTCTAATATTCTTCATGCTTCTCATGTCCCTTTTATCTCACACTTCTGTGTTTGCTTCCATATTCCTAGTTCTCTTCACATTATCTTGCCAGATAAAATAAGTAAAGAAAACTTAGAGCTACATTTTCTATTGAAATCAATAGAGGCCAAAATGCTGAGTAACTGGCCCAAGGAATCTAGAAGTGACAAAATAAAAATGTAGCCTCTTAAAAGACTAAATGTAAAGTATTTCAGACATTACCTGACCATCCCACAGACGCACTGAGTCACAATTTGAAAGATCTTCTTTGAGCTTTTCAATCTCTCTCTTCAGCTCAGCATTTTCTTTATTTATCAGAGAGAGTTCTGTCTACAAATGAAAACCATTAAATGCAAAACTGAATGTATAGAAGATAAAATTATTTCAGCAAAATTCCTACACATTATAAACTATATTTCTACTTTTAATAATTTTTCTAGATCAGTCACACACGAAATTTTTTGCACAGCTTCAACTTTACACAGAGTTAATTTACTCAGTAAGGAACAGTTTCATTTGAAGTTAGTTACAGAAAGAACATTTTCAGAAATGAGGCATTAGCGTTTTCACTATATACAATATACCATAAATTACACTCTGCTTTGCATAGTTGTGTTAATTCCTTCTAAATGCAAGATCAGAACCTATGTTAACACAGATATTTTATTTTCTACCATACATACATGACATCTGGAGGAAAAAAAGGCGAAAAAAAAGACCATGTTTTCTAGAACTCCAAAAAGGCCAAAGTTACATTACAGTCAGAAGACCAGCATGAGCACAAGGAATAAGCAGTGAAAGAGGCACTAAGAACAGATGAACCAGCAGCAGCAGAACCAAAGTTAGATAGAACTCTGTGTGTGAGGGCAAAAGGTTTGAATTTCATAGCTATGTTTTCCTCAGCTTGAGTTCATCCCCACAAATAGCTTCTGTATTCCTTTTTGTACCAGACCTATATTATAAAAGCTTGCAATATCAAAACTGCAACTTCTCACCAGTGGCTCACAGACCAGACTAAAAATCCCTGAGACACCTTCTTGACAGTCCATGAAAAGTTCTCTTATTACAGAATCAACAAGTGCACAATAACACATTGAGGCAATTACCGCTTAGTCCTAGAAAGAAAAGCCATCTGGCCCTGGCTCTTGCCAAATTAGCTCCAAGCTTTCCTAGCTCATAGTGACTTAAGAAATGCTAGTTCTCTTGCACATTGTAACCTTTAGTGAAACATGCTGGGATTTAGGGAAGCTGGGGAGCAAATGAGGTAACCAATTCAATATTATCTGTGTCACAGTAGTCAAACTTTTCTTTAGAGTGGATCATCTTGAAAGAGGACAAATAATTCTGTCAGTCATCACTTTCTACACAAGATGAGTCTAAGTTTTGCCTTTACAAACATTACTGCAAGTTTTGGGTTTTTAATTGTCGCAATTCTTAATTTGCCATAAAAAAAATGCATAAAACATTTTAGTTATACAGACTGCAAACTGACGAAGCTGTTTAAACTGTGAAAAGCAAATATTCCTCTCGTTTTGTCTAATAAATCCTTCTCTCACCATTCTGCAAATACTGACAGCCTTCTCCTTACCTCATAGCTTTCCCAAGTTATAGGCCTTTCCCTGTTCTGTTTCTCTCGCAAGTATGCTAGCTTTGTCATCATCTCATTCCGTGCCTTAACACGCTCTTCATCAGCATTAAATTTACAAAGAAGATCACCTTTTGCTTTCTCAAGTTGTTCAAGCCTTTCCTAGAAAAGAAAAGGAGTTTTAGATAGTAGGCCCTGCTTATTAAATTCCCCTAAGGGATAATATTTCACTGAGACATACAAGTATAGTTGACTGAGATCAACACAAACCAGTGAAGAAGAAAAGCTTCTCTGCTCCCTGCTGTAACAGGGGTAGAGTTGATTTTTTTTTATAGAAATGGACTAGTGGGCTTGCAAGGCATAATTCAGCCCATTTCTATTATTCTATGCACTTCATACAACTTGCCTTCCATTTCTCCAATTCCTTTTTAAGACTTTCCAGCTCATCTGTTGATGGGCCAGAAGGATCAGTGGTTTCCATAATCTGGATAGGAGAGAGACACAGAGTTTTTGATTGTTTGCTTGTAAATAGGAATTAAATGAGACACACCAGTGTTCAAGTTATTCTATAAAACTTAAAAAAAAATAAGCATCAATTTAAGAAAATAAGAATAAAGATGAAAATAAGAATAAACAACAAAATAAGAATAAACAAAACGTTGGATGAATTGTTTTGCCATGGTATCTTTCAATGTATCAGCATTACTAACAGTCCAGTTTATTTTGCCTGTGTGGCCATTTATGGTTTCTCTTCAACTCGTGCATGCAAGATACGTGGCAAGTTTAACATTTTGAGGGGCCTATCTAACATCATAATTACATCTTTCTCTTATCTCTTTTAACACATTCTGACAGGTAAATCAATTCATTCAACCATGCTTTATGGTTGAATGGGACAAAAAACTAAGAAACTCAGTACTAACCATAATTATTACCTGTTAATTATTCATCTGAAAATCTTCACAGACTAATATTTTAAGAAATCACTGAAGCAAATTATGCCTGAAGGGAACTCTACTTGAAGGGAATTAAGATACCAAGCCAGAAGGGTTTATCTGTACAAATCTAAGCAGAAAATTTTCCAATTTTTTTTACAAGCTCTTCCAGATTGGACAATAAAAGGTAACATCAAATGGGAGAAAGGTGATGAAAGTGGTATAACAGGATTAAATACGTATGGGTAGAAGTTCACAAACACAGGAAAACTACAACTGGATAGAGCCCAAGAAAAGGGAAAGTCTTCTCTGGACTGTTTTGTTTCTATGACTGCAATATTCTGCAGAATAAAAAAAAAAAACCCAAAGAGACCTGCTGAAACCATCCCTCCCTTTTACGTAAGATTACGTAAAACTTGAACGTGAATCATGAAATTTAGGCATGGAAAGGGCCTGTAAGATAATCTAGTCAATTCTCTTGATAATGCTGTTTCTTTTTTTTTTTTCTCCAAATAAATAAATAAATAAACAAAACAAAACTTTTCCACTACTTTGTCCAGTTTCAAATGCCTGTTAAGCAATGAGGAAATCCACATCTGCATACAACTTAAAAATGGAAAAAAATTCCCACACCCAAGGGACCAAAGTCAGGAAAATAGGCAGATGCATGAGCTACCACTGGAAGCTCCTTGTTACTTCAAAATAGTCTAGGGCAAGAGTTTTCAATCTGAAAAAAAAAAAAAAAAAAGGAAAACACAAGAAGTCCCAGAAAGTCCCACATCAACACTATTTGGCATGCTACAGGAATTGAAGGAAGGGAGGCATTGGGAAAGGGAATTTCCTTTATGAAATCCCTACAGCGATATCAGCAAGTGAGCTAGGGAAGGAGTGCTCCCCTAATATCTGTCATGGGACTCTCCCTACAGAAACAGAAGCCAGCTGCATGGGAAAAGATGCAGGAAAACCCTGCTAGAAACCAAGGTAAAAGATTTGGGCAACGAGTTTTATATTGGTAATGGCATCAGGAACTTAAAATGTGTTGGGACACAGCAGAGGGCAGAAATGGGAAATGTGCAACGTATTAAAGGGTGAAAAGAGATTATGCAGTATAAAAAGTTTCAGAACCACCATCCTTGCTGCCCAAACATGCATTTTCATTGAGGGATCCTACTGTCCAATCCAGCTCCTTTCCAGTAGGAAATACTTCAGAAAATACTTACAGAAGCACTGTCTTGTATACAAGATCATAAACTTGTTAAATTCACTGAAGCCTGGAAGAACAGGGGAAAAAAAAAACAAAGACAACAAAACACTTATTAGTTTTTGGTTTTCTCCTTCTCTTTGTAGCACAATACCCCAGAACAAAATACCAGAAGCTGCATTTGTCTGTTTTTTTTTAATGTATCATTTTATAAACGTATAAAAATGTGTTCCCAAAACCTCTCTTCAGAAAATACTTACAGAAGCACTGTTTTGTATATAAGATCATAGACTTGTTAAATTCACTGAAGCCTGGAGGAACACGAAAAAAAAAACAAACAAAAACAACAAAACATTTATTACTTTTTGTTTTTTCCTTCTATTTGTAGCACAACACTCCAGAATGAAATACCAGAAGCTGCATTTGTCTATTTTTTATTGTATCATTTTATAAACATATAAAAAGGTGTTCCCAAAACCTCCTTCTTTACAAAGTGTGAGAGACACGTGAAGAATCCTACATTTGTGCTGCTTTCATCTTTCTGGACCTGAAACTTCGGCACGCACCTGCCTTTACGTGCTGTCACCAACACGCACCACCTCCCGCCTACTCTGTGCACACAGAAACCTCTTAAATCACCTTAAAACACACGAGTGAAAATGCTGCCTCCCACAGACGTGGACGCAATTACCTGCTTCGGATGGTTATCCTCCAAGCCCTTCCCGTTCAAAAGGAAGGACGGTTTACAACGGGGAGAAAAACAAACATAAACAGGGGTCAAACGAGCGGAATGGCGCCGAGCTCGGCTTTCGGTTTCGCTTTCCCGCCGCCGGGAAGCCCGGGAGAGCTCACGGGGTCCCGGGGCGGATCCCCGCGAGCGGCAGCGCGGCCCTTCCTCGAAATCACGTGAGGGGAAGATGGAGCTCGTCTCCCTCAGCGCCTCCCTCACAGCCCACCGGGGCGGACGGCGCCTTCCCGGCACCTGCGGCGCTTCCCGCTCCCCTCACACCCCGGGCCCCGCGGAAACGCGGCCGCCTCCCGATCAGTGACCCCGCGGGCAGCGCCTCTGAACAGAGCAGGAAAGCAGAGGCACCGGGGGTGGCTTGTGGGTGTTGAGCTGGCCCTCATTTCCTGCCGTATTTTTTTTAACCCCAGTTTTATCCTGGGTGGAAACTTGGGGTTTGGCCTCCAGAATTTTATAGGTAGTAAAACGACTAAAGCTGTGGCTCAATTTCCTTGGATTTGTTTAGCACCATGTTACATCTTCTCCGCATAAACGACTAGGTCACCGGACCGGGGCAAAGGGCAGATGCTCTGTGGCGGTACTACCTAGTGCTGATGCAGGAGCCATGTTCAAATTACCACTTCCAGAAAGCACAGACCTCTGAAGATGAGGCAGGCGGAGCAGCTGGAAAACCCACATGCATTCCCTGAGGGTGGAGGTGCCCGCCACTAGCGGTCCTGCCATCTTGGAGGTGTCCGCCATTTTGGGGGCACCCGCCATCTTAGAGGTACCTGCTGTCCTGGGCCGTGAGGGTGAGCTGGGGCCCTGCGGCCGAGTGCTGGTGGCAATAGGGTGGGCACAGCCCCATCCCTAAAGGAGTGTGGTGCCTTTTTGACCTTTCAGTATATAAATCATCCCATCTCATAAAAATATTGGTGGCAGATGTGCCTAGAATTGGACAACAGAGTCACAGACAGCCTATGGGCAATGGCAGCTTTGTTCTGCAGGGACTATTTAAGGCGCCCGACTCATAGCTGCCTCAAGTTTACCTTTATCTGCTGTGCTCTGCTACATGGCCCTGCTGCACTTGGCAGACCACAGTGCTCATTTGGTGGTTGGATTATAGCACCAGTCGGACTGAAAACTACTTGCTGCCTCCCTCAAAAAAAATCATTCTTTGGCCAGATTGGTTCCCAGATCTGTGTCTGCCCAACAGCTAGAGCCAGTGCAGGGAAAGGGGGAGATGGGCAGCGTGGTGCTTTCAGCCTCAGCCTGCCTCCAAATCACATTAAAGCAGTCACGGAAGGTGGCCTGAGATGAGGTGACTTTGCAAACAAGGGACACTCCTTTTCTAAAAACATCTCAGGGAACAGCTTCTTAAAGGGAAACAAAAAAGCTTAGATTTCCATGGTGACTGGTTTGAGGAAGAGAAAGCGCTGGCTCCCCTTTAAAGAGGAGGGTGATGGCTTTGGATATCGAATGATTCTTCATGCAGGTAACCAGAGAGTTGCCCATGAAACCTGAGAAGAGGGTATGATGCGCTTGTTTGTGCAGGTCCTGCCAAGAACTGGATATACTGGATGCCTTGCTGTGAGAGTCATCAAAAGGGAGATACAGCGTGAAGGAGCTCCAAGGTAGGTGAGCGTAAGAGTAGCACCACAAGCATCATCCAGGAATAGCTGTTGGATTCAGGAGCGCACAATGCATCCAGGATTGTAGCCAGCCAGTCTGGCACAGCTCATTGAATCTGACACTAAATATCCATTTAGAGATGCACCCTAGGTGTGTTGGAGTCATGAACAAATTCGAGCAATGTCTATATCTGTGAAAAAGTAAAGGCATACTGCTTGCAGAAATATATGAGCAGGTGTCCTTTAAATTTAATTTAAATAAATTTAAATTGTTTAATCTTTTAGATGTTACTCTCAAAATTGTGCGCATGGACCATAGCATTTTTATACATAACAGGCAATCTGCACTGACAGTTAGAAAAAAAAATCCTCAGAAGTTTAAAATATGCCAAATGAGTTGATCAAAAAATAGAGCTGACTGTCACTTAGAGAACATGGATATCTGTTTTCAGGGAAAAGCAGAAAGAGCTAGGGATCAGTGTAACCTTGTAGCCTGGAATTGCTTGGACTCTGCACATACACCTGAGGAAATCTGCACAACAGCCAGGTCAGGATCCTCAGCTTCTGCTTTCGTGGGCTCTACAAGGGAAATCTTGAACTATACCCTGCCTGGATACCCATCACCTTCTACAGCTGAATTCAGTGAGAGTTTTACTTGTGACATAAGTATTATTTGGATAGTTTTAGATTTCTTTCTGTTTTTGTTTTTAAGATAAGTGCATGAAAATATGACGCTGTATTCATGAGGTTTTCTAAAATTATTTTTCAGATTTCTTTTTTTCTGTCATGACAATGGATAACAATGTTTACTATTGCTTTGTAAACATAAAACTGGTTTCTAATGAGATGAGTAAAAGGGAGAGGTTTAGCTGGGGTAGCCAGGGAGGAGGAGGTGATTATGTTATGACCTAAGTACATCAGATTTCGGATTTAAATGTCAGAGTGGTATTGGCAGGCTGTTTTCCATGAACAGTGGACATGTTGGGAAGTCACTGCTGATCTGAAAGAGCTTTATTTTATTAAACTCCAGGGATTGCAGTAAAGTCAATCTGTTTACAAGGCCTTCTGCTCTGGGATTTAAGCAGAACAATGTGTTTGTGCTTGTTTTGGGAAGGATATTTACTGGAGATCCTAAACTGGACCAAGTCCCTTAGCTGTGGTGGAGTTGGCTTGGAGTTAATTTGTTAATTGATTTCTATGTGTTGTGAATTTATAGTGTTGACCACATATGAATCAGAGAAACTGGAGAAGTACTGTTTTCATAACTCTGAAAAGTCTAGCTAAAGGGGAAGATCGAGGAATAAAATTTAGCATAGAGTCCAGAAAGTTTTAAAACTCTTAGAATTTCCCTGAGCAGTTGGAATTGATACCCAACTTGTTCTTTAAGAAACAAGTGCTTAGTCTGAAATACTCTCAGTAAACCTAGGAATCAGAACTGGACACTTAAAAAAAAGTGTAAAAACTTCTTACAGGAGATAAAGACTTGTAGGATTAAGACTCATCTACACACAAAAGTACTCAAATTAAGAAGGAAGAAAGTTTACAGCCATAAGTTTACCTTTTATTTATAGCAAAACCAATCTGACCATACCTCAGTATCTGGACAGTTGTCCCTAAGAATCTTTTAGCATAATTTTCAGAGGTAGAGTATTTTTTTTTAATTTAATTCTATTTTTTTTTAGGTTAGATTAGATCCAAAGAGAGATGTAAGTGGAATTTAAGAGTCTGAATTGTAGTTGTGATCGTGAAGACCCTTTTCAGTGCCTATCTAATTCCTGCACTATCCCAACAACAGAGGAGCGTAGTTCTTCAGCCAGGACTCATAGCATATTAATGGTGGCAGCTTTGAGTGTCTTCACTTGATAACACAGAAGCCAAATTCAGTCATTAAAGTGTTCAAAGGGCACATAGAGCACTTGGATAATTTGATAAAACAGTGTTTTACAGTTCTGATGGACCTTGTGTTTCTTTTAAAACCTGGCCAGCAAAGGCTTAGTGATGCCTTCCCTGCTTAAGCTCAAGTTTTACAATGTCCGGAAAAGGGCACAGTCTTTTATAGATCATTAGTCCTGGAAAGAGACAATCAAATCTCCTTCCTCCTTAAGGAACTGCTTGTGCATTCTGTGCACCTGCTACTTCACAAATACATTCCTTAATAAGCAGAGTACACAGTCATAATTTCAAAGCTTTATTTTTTTTTCTGGGCTCTTGGAAGAGTTTCCACAGCCCCTTGCACTTTTTCCAACAGCTGGGCTGTCTGATGGGAATGATGGTTCCTGTTCAGCTTCCTGCATGGTGATCCCTACTTAGTTTTAAAACAAAAGAACAAACCCTACAGAACCTGAGCAAACAGATGACTCATTTCCATCCTTGGTACAACACCAGACCGTGGAGAGCAGCAGATCTCAGATTTTTTTGTGGTTTTGACAGCTGCAGGTTTTACCTTACGCAGTGTGCTGACTTCTAAGTGGCATCAAAAATCACCATGCTGATTGTTCTGAGTCTCATTGCTGAGATAGCAACGTCTGTACTTCTTCAAACTTTGATATCAGAGACACCACACACAGGTGGTGGTGTCTGTAAAGAAACTGCCCCATCTATTTCTGCCATTCATTTCTGTTCTCTGTCATCCTGAGTATCTTCAAACTTTGATATCAGAGACACCAAGGACACACAGGTGGTCGTGTCTGTAAAGAAACTGCCCCATCTACTTCTGCCATTCATTTCTCCTCTCTGTCATCCTGAGTATTTCTGCAGCTATTGTAACTGCTTCGGTTGGGAAATGAGCCAAGTGAAAATTAAGCAGGAAAAAAAAAATTATTTTTTAGCTGACTTATTTCTTCAAGATAGTTCATCTTGTGGTCAAAAAAGGGTATGCTGTCCCAGGAGGAAGGTGACATGGAGCAAGGTCAGTGGGCTTGCAGTGGGGTGTTGCACAACAGCTTATTTCAGTGGTGGTGCCAGCATAGCATGACTTAAAACACTCATCACAGCCTCATTCTCTGTAGTACAGTGTAAAAAGCCGCAGTGCCAGAAAGAAGGCTGCAGATTTAATTTCAATGGAGCTAAACATACAGCCCCCCTTTTTTTTCAGGTCTACCATGGCAACAGACAGAATTGTTCCTGAGAATAAAAATTCAGCACTTTTTGAGGTCAAGTATGTGCCTGTTGTAGAAGTACAAGTCCATTTCCAACACAGTTATGAAATAGTCTATACCAATCTACATTCTTCACAGGAAATATTCTGAAATGCATTTGAAAAGCTTTGGGAATGTTTCAGCTTTCCTAAAATGAGACAACATAAATGAGATCACAAGTCAGAGGAAAAGAAGAGTAGGAGGGGGCTAGCAGGGATGGTCCTCCCAGTACTATTAGTCCATGCCTTTTTT